AATGCTACCGCCACTTTTTGATAGAAATTCATTTGTTTATCTTTGCCAAATAGTTCGAGAAAAGCACAGAAAATACGATCTTTTTCTGTACATATATATGATTGCTTTATGTTAAAGTAAAACTTTTCCTCATTAAAAGATATTTTGTCCTTAAAAATAAATTAATTAAAAGATTGTATACATGTGGCGTATATATGCAACTGTTAAGTTCTTGCACGCATGTGTGAAACGTAAATGTTTTCTTTTTCCGGGGGCAGTCGTATAAGCACCCGAGCAATAACAAGGTTTCCTTTCAGTTAACTGAAAAACTACAATTACATGTGTCAGACTTTGCTCCGGTTTGTTTATTTATTTCTTCATCTCTTTATTTAAAATTAGTTTAGAAAATTTCTCAAAGAACACATTTATATATACTATATAGGATATTGGGTATTGTATCATCGCAACTTTAAAGCGACAAAATCATTTCTAATTCTTCAACCGATTAAACATGAAATACGTTTGCCGATTCTTTTATAAAACAGTATTCAAACTACCCGCATGTAAACAAACAAAAGCCCGGGTCTCAATTTTACTACATTAACGTACTTCTCTCATGTAGCGTAAAGAGTGCTTGTATTGCCTATTCAGTTATATTCATCAGGTTTGAAAAGTTCTCAAAAGTAGGAGTATGCAGCACTACAAAGCACTACACGCAACTTTGTAAATTTGATCAACTCTCAAATATTCTAATTAGACTTTCTTTGGAAAGAATTACTCTCAAATGACTGTGAATCGAAGTGGATTTCAGGCCTGCTCATTTAATTTCGAACATTTAATTCAATTTACTTTCATCAAATATATTTTGATTAACTTTATGTTGTATGTAACTTTATGTTGTATTTAATTCAATTTATAATAGGGTTTCGATTTTTTTAATAGCTTTGCTGGTAGAATCAAGTATAGTGGAAATTATAATATGGGGTGATCAACATGACTCTTTTTTCATCTTCATTTACTACATTTCTCCAATACTCTCTTTCAAACAAATAAAATTCATCTTTCCTACTAGAAAATTCCAAAATATCTACTTTAACACTCCATTTCTTGACCATATTTTAAGAGACTAAAATTGTGTATAGAAAAAATAAAAATAGCAGACATGTACGCACGACTCCGTCTCCCTTTCTTTTGTGTAACTTTATTAATATATATAAAAATATATATAAAAGGAATTGTTATTGATTTCCTGATTGTTTCCGATTCTTTCTCCTTGACTTGGTCGCTTTTGCTCTTCTATAACAACACCGTATAAATACATGCCGTAAGCGTCTAATTTATTTCGCGAATGCTCTGCCCGCAAAGTAACCAAAATCTCACCCAGGTCTTTAAAGTGACCTGAGTCAATTAGATTCGATTGAATGGTAGTCGACTCCTATCGTCGTTTCTTCACTGCCATATAAGTGGCATAAAGATGAAGGAGTCTGGGAACTGAAGAACTAGCATTCCTCTCTAAGTGAGCAGCTCTATTATATTCACGTACATCAAAGTAACTTTTAGCCAGAAAATAATTATCATATTCTTGCGGTGCTATGCCTTCCAGCGTTTTAATACCAAAATTATCTTTTTCATCCTCGCCGTCAATATCCGCAAGGCCGTGGCACATTTCAGCTAACCATTTGACGCTGTACACTAAACCACGTTTCTGACATCCCACTTCTCTTTTTAAGAGTTCAGAGATTGTACTTAAGGAAATTTCCTCTCAGCAATAAACAAAACAATGCCGCAATATTAAAGAAGTCCTCTCTATTAAATTGTCGTACTAGACATTGATGCCAATTTTGAAAATTTATTAACAAAGTTTCGGTTTGTGCCCTGCAAAAGTGCAATATTGAGAGGAAAAAAGCTAATAATTACAATTTACAGAAAGATTGTCGTATTCGCTAAAATGAAACAAAACCGAAATGGTACATATTTGTCAGTTCGTACTCTTCAACTGCTTATTGTAGCATGAAAGAAAATTGATGTTTTTATCGTACGCTATACGCAATTCGAAACACAATGGAATTCTACACAGAAAATCAACTCTTTATGAAACTGTTTCAATTCTATTAACTAGTGCGAAATTAGTAAATAATTATACCAATAGTGTATAAAAAACAATTATTATTTGAAAAATTTTTATTTTATCTATCGCGACTGAATATAAATTAATTGTTTGTATTTTATCAATTACCAATAATGTTTAATCTTTTATTGAATTAATAAAATATTTGCTAAGAAATTTTAAAACTTCCTTCATATACCGATTAATTAATAGATAAATATTGTCAATTAAAGTTAAAACCATTATTTATACTGCTAAATTTCACGCCTATAAATATCTATTTCTATTTTTAATTTTATTTACTAAGCCAATATATTACCAACCAGATTAACTTATTTCTACAAACTCCTTGTGCGTTTTTCAAAGAAAAAAAAAATAGCTATTTATTCAATTTTCACTTTTAAGATGTTATTCTATATTATTCTGAACAACAAGACATCAGATTACATAATAGTAGTAAATTTATAAACAATTCAATCGAAAGAAGAGCATCGCATTGTGTTGAAAAGTATTTTACTTTAATGTTCTGTTGAATGATGAATGAATGACGGGTTAAGACTAAGAAGCTTAAATATCGTTTTTTTATACTAAAAATGGGTACAAATTGGAAATTTGAGAAGGAGCTCTTCATTAGGGTAGACGCCTGAAAAGGTTATATAAATTAAACTAATTATGCGTTATAGTTTAAATAAAAGTGAATTCCTCATCTTTGGTCTCTCCCTTAATATATCTCAGACTGATCTCGATATCTTTGTAAGGAAGCAATCGCTTCCTTACATCTATGCTTATACCATAGTTACACTCATTCTACTTATATTACTTTTATTTACTACACTTGCGCGTGTATATATCCGCATGCTTACGTATATCTAATAAAATCTTGTAATATTTACCTCCACTTGCATATATACACTTCCATTTTTTACTTATGTTCCTTTTTAAATTTCCTTATATAACCGTTCATTCCATGCTATACAAATCCCACACATTCTATAATACTTATGCTCTCATTACTGATCTCAAATGGTAAGATAATTGTTATAAGACATCTCCCTCCACATTTGCAAAATATACAATAAGCCCATTTTGCATGCACATACACATAGACACACAGAGCGATTATATATACGGTAATTCTTCAAACGGTATTCAGAACGGTATTTACTTTCGGTATTTAGAACAGCGCTTCATGGCAATTTTTACGGGGTCAGCAAACAAAAAGCGCCATGCATCTCACACTTGCTATGCTGGTTTTTTTCCCCTACCACGCACGTCTATTATTCTCTATGTAATTATTATTTTGAGCAATGTAAACCAAAATCCACATTCCTAAATAAAACAAGCAAATCAAACAACAAAGAAAAGGTCTCCCGCCTGCGAGTAGCCCTGAGAAGGGAGACCCTGAACTGGAATCGTTGCATCTTTTTTAGATTCTTCTCGTCATGTCGTCTCTCTAGAGCGCTAATAATGTTTAGATTTGGAAACATCACAAAATTTATCAAATCATGTAAATAGCCTTAGAAGCAATTGTAAGAAGCATGATTAAGCCGAAGTCTGAAAGATAGATGTAAGTAATGCCGAATAGGTATTTTTTAAAACAAGTAACTCGGGCTTACCATACATTCATTTCAGACATGTTATATATCATTATTACTAAGGCAGCATGAGTGAGGTTAATAAAGATTATGTTCATTGTGACTGGAGTCACCATAAATCAACTCTATGATCACTCACAAATGAATCATTTTTACATTATATGTTCTCACAAACATATACCGTTGCAAAAAATAAGTCAGAAGAATAGCAATCAAATTTATATAATCGATGTAGTTTCCCCATATAATTGTAATTTTGAAAATTTTAGTTCACTGTGATCTATTTTGATTTCTTTAATTTCACTGCAACTATTTATTTCTTATTGAGGGAAAGAGTATTTCTTTTAGAGCATGTTCACTTATTTTCATGTTAAATTTAAGAAATCATATGTTTTGCAATTATGAATCCAAATTGAGAATGATAGTTCTAAGAATGGTAAATGTTACAGTTTTTTCGCCAAATCTTTAAGTAATTCTATAATACATATATACATATATATATATATATATCTCGACTAAGCTAAAAGGCAATCAAGAAACTATATTTTGAAGGGTATACAAAACAACTATACATATGCAATTTTTTGCTCAATATTCGCACGCTCATTCGAAATTTTCTAATAAATTCAACTTGTCATTTTCTTTTGCGTCATCTTCTCTTCATTTTGATATTTATTCGAGTGGGAAAATTTTTCAAAGAATCACATTTGAACAGTTGCTATTTGTAATCACTGAGATATTATTTTTTATCTTTTTAACATAAAAACGATAAATCCAGGCATCTTTGTAAGACCTCGATGACACTTCGAACAACTAGCCGAAAGATTAAATCGAAAATTGTACAGATTTTGGAATTATGCGGCGAAAACTATGAAGAATTTGATGAAAACTAATAATATCAGTTAGACATATTAAAGACAGTTAGATTCCATTTCACAAGCTCTCATACTCGTTTGTTATTTTCACCCTTCGCAAATAAAGAGGTGTCTATCCATATAGAGTTGATTTATTCGCGTTAACCGAATCGTACAGAAATCGATAGATGCAAACTCAAACCCGGAATTTAAAGCAAAGCTAACAATTTTTCTGAAAAAAAAAAATAATACAAATTGAGAGAGTATATAGTTAATATTGGGAGTACTGATATTTTTTATCTGGCAATACCGCGGCTCCATCGAGCTATCTTTATAGATATTATTGCACTCCGTTAACTGAACATGTTGTTATTTTCACTTTTCTTTTAATATTTCAATAGAACTTAAAATCGAGCTGTCAAAACAATTCTATTGAAAAAAAATTTTGGCAATTACTGACAAGGTGTGCGTGTAATTGAGGATATGGTTCTTCTCTAAAAAGTGCTTTTTCAAGAGATTTATTTAAAACAAGTCTCATGTGTTTACAAGAAATGTAAAGAAAAAAAAAATTAATTTTGGGAAAAAAGGAAAAATTCCCTTGTCATTGGAATACAAAAACGGTACTTGCAAAAAACTACTGTAATCTTATAAGAAAGGTGTGTGTTTAATGAAGTAAATTGTGAAATATTTCGGCACCATGAATAACGTTTTGGACAATGATAACAGTGCCTCAAAGGTTATTGCAGAGTCAACTTGTGGACCATTAAATGAGCTGCCATCGACGGATGTAAAATGTAAGGATATAATCCCAAAAGCGAATACTAATTCATCTCCTTCTATTTCATCAAAACCTGGCGAATCAAAACGTTTAATACGTAGATTTACAAAACTTGATAGTAAAAAATTACAACAATTGGGCTTAGATCGCAAAATAGCTGAAGCCTTAAGTCATCAAAAGTCAATGAAAGAGCAAGAATCGAAAGCAACGAAAGAGTCACCAACGAGGGAATTAATAGGAATAACAGTAGCAGCAGCAATTACAAGGAGTAGTGTTGAAAAGATATCACCACTTGCAAAAAGTTCAGATTATTTGGGAAGTGATGTTAAAAGCTTAAATGAATTGCCAGTGACCGATGTAACCGGTAAATATATATTTTAAGTTTATATTTTTTAACTTTTTTCTTCGTAACAATTTTTTATTATGGTCGACATTTATGCCCTGAACGTTCAAAAGATTAGGTAGCTCGGTGAGTAAAATTGTCTTGCTAGGCGATAGGGTGCCCAGGTTCAACTCTCGGTGGGTTTTCGCGTTTTTTCTAAAAATTTTTTAATACTTTTTAAAAAAGTATGTAACAGACGCTACGTTTTTCGACTTTTTCTGACGTTTTTATAAAAAGACTTAAATATTATTTAATTGAAGATTTTATCACTGTTCCCAATATTAGCATCCATAACAGACGAAAAATCGACTTCAAAATCAACTACACCGCCAAAAATTACTATAACTGGCCCAGAAAGTCCTTTAGAATATGAAGAGGAACAGTTGCAAAATTTAAGTGCTCAACAACGTTTGGAAAACGTGAAACAATTGCTTAGTAAAAAGATAATGAAAAAACATACAAAGGAAGCATCTCCAGTCGCCGCTGGCGGTAAACCTTCATTCGTACATTTAAAGTCAACTCCCGTTCACGATGAGATCCCTAAAACAGCGGACATTAAAGCTCCTACTCAGAAAACACCAAAAACGGCATCTACTAAAATAAGAAGTTCTAATAAAGAATCACTGCCGGTTGTAAGTTTTCTTTTAAAAAATAATTTAAGTAAACCTGTAGTTCGGCCACAAAGCCCTTCACCATCGTCCGAAATGTGTTTAAAAAATCATTCGCATTCAAAACTGGTTCTTATACCTAAAGCTACGATAAGGTCAACTCATCAACACAGTAATCAAAGACGTACTTTTTCTCCAATTAATGTTTCCAAAGAACAAACAGCAGATAATTCAGAAAACAAATGCTCTGAGGCCACTGCAATAAACAGTCCTACTGCATCTTGCAATTCAGTACCAAAAAGTTTAATTGTATTGGAGAATAAAGTCTTATCGCAACATGAAATGATAGATTTAACTTCATTAGGCTTGTCGACCTCGAAGGTAGCTAATGAAGGGTTTTCCCAACCCCACAAACCCATACCAGAAGTTATGATTAAGCAGGAACAACCAGACGACTTTCCGCCTTTACCTTCTAATGCAACAAATCAATTAAACGTACATCCCTTGCCAATAAAAACAAATAGAAAAAGTGTGAATACTAAGAAATTGAAGTCATCATCCGAAAAGTCAGCCCCGTCGTCTAAACAGACACAGAGTAAATCATTAGAAAAACCACTGACGAAGGACCCAGATATCTTCTCCACTTCCTCAAAAGCAGGCAATGAAACATCGCCAGTTGCAATTGAAAAATCTTCACTCAAAAATTGTTCTCAGAAAATCGCTTCAAAACCCGAAAAGCAATCGCTGATAAAAGCAGTTTCGAAACCCTCATTGACTTCATCGCCGTCAAAAGAAACAAACGTTTCTGCAAACTCGATGGAAAGTGAAATTGAAACACTTGTTCCTTTCACGAAATCCGCCTCGGTGGAAATTGTCAATGAACCCGAAATGAACGACACTTTTTCAGCAGTTGATTTTATAGCTTCTCTATCAAATATGTCACAATCGATGACTGAAAAATCGTCAATGGAATTGTCGCAAGAAGAATTAAACTTGAACGCTTCCTGCTCTTCAAATATGAGTTCGGCGACGCATAAAATATCTACTTCGTACAAAACTGGCGCAGAATCTGCAAAATCTAGCCTGTCAATCGGTAAAATTGTAACTATACCGAAAGAAAATATTTTGAAATTGAATCCCAGCAACCTCAACGCAATAGTTATTGCTAGTTGTAACGGCCCAGAAACTATAGTAACCAAATCAACTGAGGTAACAATCACGACGCCGAACCAAAAACTCCAATCCATGCCAATAAAAGTGCTCAACAAATCCGCTAACGTCAGAAAAGAGACTCCAAAAGCTGCAACTATTAATCGAGTCAAAAAAACTGTCTTCAAATCTGATAGCAATAAGTTACGAAAAGAAATGTTTGAGTGTTTAAATATTAAAGTGAAGGAAACACGAGAACCCTCAATTCACGAACCTGAGTGCGGAAACGAAAAATCGAGCAAATCAATTGAATTTTCCAAGCATTCCGATGATATTAATGTCAACCAAGAGCCTGATAAAAGTTTACCTAAAGAAAAAGTGGAAAAGGAGCTTCAGAAACTTAGCAAACCATCCATGCCTTCTATATCGGAGACTAATATGAATGTGATCCCCGAAATCATTCAAGGAAATCAATCACAAGCCAAAAAATTAGATGCATTAAGCAAAATCGCTGAACAAAATGACGAGCGATCACCTAAAATGACGTATGTACAAAATGCTGCTGTTAATATAGATGCCCCTAAGTCTCTGGGACGGTTTAAAAAGTCCAAAGCTAATTTAATTTCAACAGCTAAACCTTGCTCTGATGTTCCAAAAAGTGAAGAAGATGTGAATCATGAGACTAAAGATCTTACTTGCACAGCTGATGGTAATATACATCAACCAGTCACTGAAATTATTAGGAAAATCGAAGACTTTGCGAACCAGGCGGAAGACAATAGACCTGTAGAAGTCATCTCAGTGGTATCACCTTCATCTGAAAAGCGTTTAATAAAAGAGTTGAATATCAATCAAAGTGAACAAGTTTCCAGAAACATTGCTGCGACTGCACTTGAAACAGATGACGAAGAAAAAACGCACAAAAGCTGCGGGTTAAACGCGTCTGGTGAGCCATTAGAAGATGCAGGGAGAGAAAACGCGGAAGTACTTAAACTCCAAACCGGTTTAAATGTGAATGAAAACATTGTTGGAAGGATGCCGGAGGAAGTTAGCAACGGAAAAGAAAAGACAGTTTCGGAAATTTCCAAAGTCGGACTGTCTTTGAAAGCAAAAAAGTCGAATGTAACGTTTGCCAAGGAACCCAGTGTTAGCGAAGCAACCCCAAATGTATCGGAAGGAGCTGACCCCGGTACAATTTCTGATCCGCCACAAGCAATATCGAATTCTAAATTGAACGCGAAGCAATCAAAGGAGGCGAAAGATAAATTTGCAAATGGCAACTCTGCTTTGAGTGACATAAAACTTACAAAAACTGCCCAGAAAAATCAAGAGAAGAAATCCTCCCCTTCAGTGGCTTTGCCGTTAACAAAATCGCCACTTAAACGCAAACGTCCAGATATAGAAACATCAGCCAACGAACCTATAGCAATTGCCAGCGTAACACATCGCGGTAAGAAAAGCAATCAACTTAAATTAAGCGAATGTGTAAAGTCGGAAGAGAAGGGTGAAGAGAAAAAGAAAGACGACGAGGAAGAAAGTCTTTTAGAGCCGCTGAGGGTTGAAGAATTTAACGAATATAGCTGCAAAGAGAAGAATTTTCTCAATTCAAACAAACATCCGGATGATGATAGTAATTGCGTGGCAAGGAGGTCTAAACTTGGAAAAGCTAGGTCTGCAGAAGCGGAAGAAGAACTAAAGAATTTAAAAAAAATGGAAACAATAGGTCCATTAAGCATAAAAGTGCGTAAGGGGACGAAACATCGGAAAGAACTGGAAATAGAAGAGAAAAAAACCGAAATTGATGGTAATGTCGTCAAGTCGGGAGAAAAGCCAAGCAATAGACGTAGCTCTCAAAGGAAAGCAATACTGGAGTTCAAGGAAGATAAATCTTCGGCCAATAACACGGAGTGCGCTGTGAAAGAATCAATAAATTATGAAGATTTAGAGTTTTTACCAGTCAACGCTGAAATACAAGATTTCGAGCCTCTCCGAGCAAAGAGAAAGATTGCAAAAAAGCATCGGCACGTAAGCAAAGAAAATAGTACGCAAGCGAAAAATAAAAAAACAGATAATTCTAGCCGAGAGGCTGTTATTGAATCACCGCAAAGTAAACGACGTAGAAAGACTTTGGAAACGGAAGCCGTAGTCCACAAGGTTCTAATAGATTCAGATAACGAATATGAAGGAGGAGAGATAAGCTTCGATGGTAGCCCAGAGTTTCTAGGATTCGATGACAGTTTTGAAGTCGGTTTAGAACTAAAAGAGGACGACAATAAGTTCAAAAATATGGAAAGAAAACAAACAACCTTGAGAGATTGGCTCACGACTGGTAAAAATACCTCCTCGCCGGCACCTACAGAAGAAAAACCATGCTCTAGCCGCAACATACCATTAAAGAAACGGTGGGATTTGAATATGACTTCTCGCGATCAGACTGATGTTCATGACGATGAAATTTCATCGGCAGATGAGAACGAAGTGAAAATTAAAAAAAGAAAAGTAGAAAATCTGCTTGTGACCGATAGAAAAAAATTCGCGCTTGGAAAAAATCAAATTGAGAAGCCTGAAGAAAATGAGAGTTTAACGAAACCGCTTTCGGCAAATGATAGTGAGGCGAAAGCTTGTTTAATAGTACAAAATGTTAAAGACATTCCTTTGCCGAAATTAAAATCCACAAATTCAAGAGCGCAGAATTCAACAAACGTCAAACCTCCGCAAAAAAGTATTTCACAAATGTCCGTAAAAGACAGTCTACAGAAAACGTTTACATCTAATGTAAATGCAGAACGTGAAGCAAAAAGCTTAGAGAAAAAGAGTGATGAGAAACCGGATAACTCAAGGTTAAAATGCGAAGCGAAAACTGCCTCGAAAGTCGAGGAGAATGATTTACAATTTTCCAAGATTTCGAGTCCTACAAAAATAAAAAACCATTCCAGTGACTCTCCAGCTTCAGTGTCAATCAAAAGTGAGCCGAATACTTCTACAGGAGCAACCATACCCGTAAAACGCAGCAGAGGCCGTAAGCTTGGTGCAGTGCCCAATTTAGAGAACAATTTTAACCCTCGCCTATTGTTAGCAACCAATCGATCCGAAGTAGATTCAGATGAAGTCCTAACATGTGACGCAGAAACGATAGGTTCCGGGCCTATTCAATGCGGTTTGTGTTTGAAACGTACATCCTCTCAAAAATGGCTTCCGCACTTGAGTGAACATTACGGTTTTGGCTTTAAACTTGGGGAGAAAGAATTAGTAAGTGAAATTTCTACCCCTTTTTTTTGGCATCTATCATATTTTAACTTTTCAGAACGCTTGCAACCGTTCCATAGTTTTGAGTCAAATAATAAGTTACTTCAAAGAGACTAATATTAAAGGGCTTTGTTGTCGTATGTGCCAGAAGATGTATCGTTCTGGCTTGGGCCTACTAATGCATATAGAAGGTTGTGGTATAACGCAGGAACGTGTTATTTGTGAATTCTGTAAACGTGATTATTCTAAGTTATCATTGAATCCGCATTTGCGTACCTGTGCGCAACGTTTGCGTTTAGAAAATCCGAATGTGGAAGAAAATGAAAAAAAGCCTAATTTGACTGTAGAAGAAACATTCAGTAACACGGGTAGACTTAAGCGAGTGTCGACAATAAAAGCCGAAAGTAAATTGAAGATTATTGGGGAGCATTTGGGACGAAACGGCAATGAAGAAAATAATTCGGAATTCGATGCAAAAACGGTAATTAACGTGAATATTCAAAAATATGTTAATATTTTAGAGCTTTTTTCATTTCATTAGCATGTACGCTACCATCCACCAATGGATGAAAATTATCGTCAAAAATGTTCAGATGATTTAAATACATTTGGCAAAGCATTCTGTCCTAAAAAAATTTGCAGGTTTACCAGTGATAATATAGATGAATTGGAAAAGCATATAAATACGTGCAAGCATATAACGAAGTCCGGGTATTATTGTTGTTTTTGTAAAATGAGACGATTTGAAACTGAAAGTTTGGCGATAAAGCACATAGAGCAATGCCACAAGCCAAAAGTGGAAGAATCTGATAATTCTGACTGTAACATACGCACTGATGAGGAAGATAGCAGTGACGATGATAATAACTCCATATCGGAGGATGTAGACGAAAATGAGGATAATTTAGAGGAAAATTCAACAAAGAAAAGTGCAAAAAAGAATTCAAAAATGAAACCAGTAAAAACAGGCTCGGAAAGAAATAAAGGTAATCGATTATCCGATAAAAATGTTTAAACTAATTTTATTTTTCTCTTTTCAAAAACATAGTATTTCCTCCCCGCTCTCACGAAGTCGGTGAAATAGTGATAAACAAATGGAAAAACTTGTAAGAGGAGCCTTAGTTAATATTTTTTTCATATAAATATTGAAGCTTTTATTTTATTCTTAGCCTCGAAATTAATTATTCCCTTACACCACTATTCTCGAAATTCTCCAGCAAATTTAAATTGGGTAATTTCAGCGAATTATCCAACTCTTTTCCTCGGCAAAAAACTTCAATGAAATTTTCCTTTTTAAAGGATATGAAGTTGCTCAGTACTATAGGTCAACCTAAAAAGGATATGGAATGGTCAGAGTTGAAGCGCTTCGAAAACGTTGAAAACGAATGTAAGTTAACTTACATGTTGATACATTAAGAAACAGTAAGATAAAATCGATATCCTCCTTATATAATATATAAATAAAAATTAACAAGACGACTCGAATTCGATTAAAACGATTTTGTCAACAAAAACTCCCATCTACAATATGTAATTATTTTCACTCACTTAACATTTTGATAACAGTAATTGCCACTGCTATTGATCTACTTTAAAGTATTTGAGTATAGGAGTTGCTTTTTTGCTTTATGATAGAATTGGGCAATAGTTTGCACATTTTTAAGCCCATCACAGAGCACCCAGCCCCAAGACTGTGACCACCGCAGTCCCTATGCCTTTCTCCCTTTCCTCGCTTCTTGCTCACCCTATTGCACAAATACGTAACAAAACAACAAAAATAATATGTATACATTTTTTATAGACAAAGCATTAATCTATATCGTCATCCTCCGGTAATGGGTATAATATCCCGTTCCTTATGTGTACAAAATTTGAAGTAACTGAAGTATTTATCTGAATTAATTTATTATTTGTTTAATTGTTTCCAGCTGATATATTTTTCTTTTTGGGAGCTCCTGTGAAAATCGTTGCATGGGTGCCTTTGCCTCATGATGTGAGCGAGCAATATTTAGCTGTAGTATATCGCAAAGATATATTTAAATATACCCGTTTCTCAGAGCCCAAGCGGCACAATACTCTGCTGCTGTTGTTTAAAGTTTTACAAATTGAGTCAGAGAAAGTTTCCCATCTGCAACTTCATTACGGTGTTAATATTACTGATGGCCCAATACATAATATAAGTTTTATTCCCAGTGGCGGTTATAATGCGGACGATAACCGTTTGGCACTGGTGGCGGTTGGTGGCGTTGAAAGTACAATAAAAGTGTATGCCTTACCCTTAAAAATTGCAACTAACGTCGATGAAGCAGAACCAATTGTAATAGAAATAGAATCTTCTTTCATATTAAAATGTGGTTTGAATGATGAGGATCACATTATGTATAAAACGCAGTGCTTGCAAATCTGTTGGTCAGAGGTATATCACAATCATTTGAGAAATTTCAAAAATGAACTTGACGTATATTTTATTAATTTTGTTAGGTAAAGGGCCATAATCACATCTTTGCTGCTTACTCAAATGGTTGTATTGGCATTTGGGATATTAGCGATGATATGCAAGGCAATCTTAATTGTTTCCTTATCGACAACGTTCATCATTATGTACCTTTAAATTATTGGTATGTGGGCGAAAAGGGTATTAAAAGTACGTCTTTGATTTATATTGAGATGCCTAATAATAACTTTCGTTTTTTACTTTAATAATACGTAGATATTAGTATACATTATGATACTAATGGACCCAGATGGTTGGCTGTGTCTGGAATGTTACGACGTTTCGCTGTATTTGACATTCAAAACATTATGCAACCGACAATTGTTCGTGATGAACTTAATAAAAATATTGTACGTGCTATGGATTGGTGCCCAGTATGGGAAACAATCGTTTTGGCTATATGCGATTCCATGCCAAATAGTAAGTTCCTTTTGCATAACAAAACGGATTTTAGGCTTACGTTTGCTTTCTCAATCGTCAGATGGTCGCTGTGCTCTTATTGTTAATCCCCTTAGTGTAATGTTTGCTCATAATAAATTAGACATCATGTCTAGTGCTGTGACACAAGTTCATTACACTCCATTAACAAACTTATGTGTTTGTTCTACGGATAATGGCGATTTACTTTTTCTAAATCCCCGCGAATTACATTATGAACAGCCATTGGGTAAACAATTCGGATACCCACGACGCTTTCTCACCACTATGGATGTGAAAACGCTGAACGGTGACCCGCTTGTCAAAATAGATAAAAGCAGTACAAGTGAACTGCCAAATGATTGGAATATGTATGAAAAGAACTATAAATATAAATACGGTGTGGTCTTCGGCTCCATTTTTCCGGTAAGTGAAAATTTCGTATCATATCCACCACACATACTGAAGAAGAAGTGTAGCATGTGGCATAATAGTAATAATATGCATATATTTATGATCTCGATTTATTGTGCTTGGCCACTACTAAAATCGAAAGCTCATAGATCACCAAAAATACTGAAAGTTGGACTTCTAATGAGCAACTATACGATTTTGTTTTTAATCCACTATAGATTAGGTCTTTAAAATATAATGTAAAGCAATATGAAGTCGAGTTTACATATTGTATCAAATTGGCTATGTCTATTTGTTTGGAAATCTAATGCAATTATAAATACTAAGTGTATGCGTTATTTTCTCATTTTCTCTAATCACCTTAAGTTTTAAACCAGATTCAGAATCGATAGAAGCTAAAATTTGTTCAAGACTTTTTGTGAACATAAATTGGTTGAAGATATTAGAGATGCGATACAGCATCAAAACTATGCACATTTCGCATATATCTATTTCTAGTAAAGTGAATCAGTTTGATGCACTTCCTCTATAGAATTGCCACAGTTGCGTAAATAAAGAGGGGAACTTGATATTTGATACAATAATTTATTAGATGATTAAAAAGGAAAGATTAAAAAATTTGTTGTAATCTAATGAGCGATACGTCCGTAATACACGAGAAACTAATACAACCTTTGAAAAATTTTGAACACATTTTTTTGTTTTTTTTTATTATCTATGGCTGAAACTCACGACGCGGTGAAGATTTTTATAGCATTACTCAGATATTCCACAGGACTATGTGCATATATAATCCCACAATTGTTCCAATCGGTTTGCTAATAAGTCAACGTACATTACCTTACGCTCCAGTACGTTAACGGATTAGTTGTTAGCTTCGCATGTACATCAGCTCTCATGGTTGTCGAATAATGGGTATCACTGTTGCCGTTGTTGATGTCATTTGTGTAAATAATAAAAAGTCTTAAAAAAAGTCGATTTTTATTTGTAATTTCTGATCATAGCTATAGATATGAGACAGGAACTTATTTAACCAATATACGTTATATTAGGTAAAGATATGCACAATAAATGTATTTGTTACGTTCATTGCTAGTATAAGGGGTCATGCACTTTTTCTCACAACAGTAATCGCAGTTTTCGTCACAGAAGAATTTGTTTTAGCTTTTTAAACAGAATAGTTCATCGTTTTAAGCTTTTGCTATTAGAAAGCGGTTTCATTTCTGCCGCATTCATTAGTCAGTTTCTTTAGCAGTTGTGATGAAAGTTGTTTTGCATTTATGCTTTCATTAGAAGTTTTTCGATATAAAATCGATCAAGTCCAAAGTATTAAGTAAAACACTCTACTGGATCAAGTACATCTGCTTCATACTTTGTCTGATTGTAGAAAAAGCACAGTTGAAAGAATTTATTTCTCATCATAAGCATTTTACTCGGATTTATGCTCGGAACTTAAAATTATTGCATACCTTTTTAAAATGTAAAAGCTATGCTATTTAACTTATAGGGGGGATATACACAATGAAGATCACTCTCATTTCCGTGATGAATTACCAATTCAGTTTCCTCGTTAAGTTCTTGGAGTATTTAGCAGACAACCATTTGAAACACAACTGCGAAAAATCGTTGTCGTAGCCATCAGACATTTCCAGAAATAGTATAGTATACGTATGGAAATCCTTTAGCAGTGAGTGTGTTAGCAAAATGCTTGGAACTATTTTTGGACCGAAGACGGAAATCCTGACGAATATCTGGGTAAAAGTTTTTCGAGAATATCTCTACTAAATCGTATGCTATAGATGACATAAAAAAAAGACCCGATAATTTTTTTGCGGCGTCTTGTCTATCGTGGGTATGTGAGCTGGCCGCATTATTTTTTCTAATTCCTATTTATATTTTTTGCGTTTTCTGTGTGGCAATTTCACAAAAATTGAGCCAACATGGCTGCATAGTCTAGGTACCCCGAAAACAAGTCCGGGTAGAAAAAGAATTATAGGTGTCTAGACGTTCTCCGTTCACCTAAATTTTCGAAACTTTGCCTACCTTATAGGCAATTTTTTTTTTTTTTTTTTTTTTTTTTTTTTGTTCAAACTTTGACAGTTGAAACGAGTCAAATACTTGGTGTACTCGTTAATTCTCTTGTTAAGGTCTTCGCGTTTTCACAATATGAATAAAATGAGCCATGCAAATATCTTTTCAAATCTAGATTGAAAAATTTAAGTGCAAACCAGGTGCATACACTCTAGACAGCAAAAACGTCTGAAACTTTTATAATAGCGACGGTGGTGGATATGAAAAAATTCGAATCATGGTGAATAAGTTTTCTTTTTGTTTTACTAAAACTATTCCTTTTGTAGTTGAAGGCTGCACATAAAAATGCTTATTTGGATGAGAATCGCCGGCCTCCATTACATATTACGCCTCTTATGCGTATCAACACATTACGCTGCAATTTGAATCCCAATGGTAAGCATTTGACCGCTGTTGGCTATGAAAATGGTTTCGTACGCATTGTTAATTTCCAAAAGGACACTGAATCTTTATAATTTTGTAAATATTTTTAGATGCTTCTAAGTAATTGTAGGTTTTACAAAATTTGTTATTCTTATGCTTCTATTTATATTACAGTCAAGTAACAAAGAATAAAATGTTTTTTTGTAATATTATCCGAATATTTTCTTTGGCCAATTGATTTATTGAAGATATAATAAACATCTTGTGAAAAGAAGAAGAACATAAATACAATTAGTTTCGAAATGCCATATGGCAAATGCAAATGCAAACACAAACCCAAATACAAATACAAATATATCGATTATTCCCATTTATGAAATTTACTCTATTTTTATTAATGCAAGCGATTCATAAAGGGTTCATAAGGTTGAAAGAAAAAAAGTGCTGAGAGAGGAGACAATTGTTTCATTTCATGTATTGAGCTTACGAATAATTCGAACAAATATGTTTTTCAATTTTTTATGTAAAGTTAAAAAGAATTGCAAGCGCATACCTAATAGAAGTTCACGTTTATGGCGTGTGTGAAATTTACATTCGTATAGAGATTAAGTTTCATAGACAAGAAAGTCTTTGTTGAAACAAAGTCGTGATGAATATCCAATGTAACGAAGCTTTCCAAGCCGAAGGCTCAAACCATGCCCTAAACGAGATGCTCCGGTTCTTGTCGGCGACTCCCGTTTTCAATTATAGGTGCTCGACTTTGAGTATCGCGAATAAAACACTTTCACTTTGAAATTCATTTTGGTTGTCTTGCGTGATTTACGCACGCAAAATAAAATACTTTCTCCGTAAGATTCTATAGAAATAGATGAAAAACGCGATGGAAATGGAGACGCGAACACCTGTGACAAATATATGAACTTTTTTTTTTACTTGTTAGAAAAGTGAGGACTATTGACATGTGTGAATTTCTCCGGAAATGCTTTGTTTTCAATTCAATTCGTTGGACTCATCATTAATTATACAAAATCTGGAATTTACTACTAATTTCTTACAACTCTATTATTTTGTGTACTTGTGCGTTCACAAAATTCTTTATCAGATTTTCTTCCAAGATTTCCACTTACATCATCCTCAGCTTGCAACGCTACCAGTTGTTAGCTTGAAACCCATCCCAAGTCATACAGTAAAACCCGAGCGCATATAACCACCAAAGAATATATCAATTTTTGGTAACCTGGACGAATAATTTATTATAAAAATCATTCAGTTTGAAAGAGAGAATGCCAAGGGCCTCGGAATTATCGTAAAGTGAACTAATACACTGGTAAAAGTTTCTTTGAGCTTAACAGAATTTGTTGTTTTATTCGAATTTTTTAAAAGTGTGAAAACATGTATTTTAAATCGAAAATTTAAGTATAGTAATAACGAAGCGAAAGCTTTGATAAAATTTTGGTATTTATCCTGCAGGAGCCTCTGTTTCAGTTGGTGCTTCCGCAGACATTTCGGCAGCTTCTGGCTGCATCTCGGATACATCACCTTCAGCAGAAGCGACTGGCTGGTCTTCGGGTATCTCTGCTTCCGTAGTCATTTCGGTTGGTTCTTGAGCTTTGGGGACGAGTGATGGAGCGAAACCAATTTTAGATTTCGTCTTCGATTGCTACAAAAAAGATTCAATAGGATAATCAAAAAGAAGATATATTTGGCCGCAGTGCTTAAAATATTTCAATAATTATTCGATAAATTTATTTTATAATATTATTATTAAGTAAAAATTATTGAAATAATTGCACTTTTGTTCGTCTTTTATGAAATCAAAAAAAAAAAAAAACCCATATCCGTTTGCTTGACGCATATGCTTCGAATAGCTCCGCGTTACAAACGTAACGTCATAATTAGTAAATATTTATCTATCTTCTGAGTATTTCATATTCTATCTTACCGTTCGTCTGTTTTCTTCGATTTCTTCCTGAGTTTGTTCCGCCATTTCCTGTTCATAGGTCTTATAAGATTCTGGGAAGAATTTCTTAGCTTCGTCGCGACCTATGACAGTATTGGGACTGACATAGCTAGGACCATATGTAACCAAAGATAACATAGTATTCGATGTAGCTTTATTGACCTTAAATATCAATTTGTCCGCTCTGAAAATCAATATATGCATATTAGTAGTTCAGCTGATTTTCATAAAAAAAACTTACGGTCTATGTTCCTTCTGTGAATATTTAATATCCGAACTAGCTATGAATTTAGCTTCATCTGGATCATCGCTGGTAAAGAACCCGTACAGAGGCACATCGATTTTATTACGTTCGGCGTGAGCTATTAGATCTTTCTTTTTATATGCATCAAAAGCCATAATGATGTGTGGCGGTTCTGGTTTTGGATCGGGGGGCAAAAATGCTGTGGTGGCTGGCCGGAAGAAAACATAAATAAGGGCGGCGTGGGTACGATGATCGTTAGGCACCCAAATTGGCGGTACTTGAATTGTTATTTTGCGTGTTCTTTTTTTGGGTGCTTCTTCTACGCGTTTTTCTTCTTCCTCTTGTTCCGGCTCTTCTACTGTGTCTAAGCCCAAATCCATTGGGGGCATATCCATGGGCGGCGGTTCGGGTGGACCAGCAGCAGCAGTAGCAGCTTCTTCCTCCTCATCTTCAAATTCTTCTTCTTCAGCGGCTTCGGCTTCCTCTCTGGCTTCGCGTTGCGCTGCCGTCTCTGGCTCAGGTTCTTCTATCCATTCTTCATCATCTAATTATACCATATTTAACGGATAGTTTGCCCATAAATTATATGCGTAAAATACAATATTATTCTTACTTACCACCGACTTCAATTTCCACTTTGATATCCATCGGTGTCAATATGGGCGGAATTTCTTGCTCTTCATGGAAGTCATCTGCCGGTACATATTTTGTCGTTGTTAACTCTTGTGCATATTTATTTAAAAACACCGCGATGTTATTGCCTTCGTCTGGTATTTTCCAGAAACAACATAAACATTCCTTGCCATGTAATTGTTCAATAACATCTGGTGTCAACGGGTTCAAAGATTGGAAATTGATTATATCGAATTGTTCTTTAGTTAAAACGGCCATTTTACGATCTTTGCATTGTATTTTAAGTGCGTCGGCTGGTTCCTGCAACTTTTTGAACATATCGCGGTTTACTTGAGGACCAAACAAAGTAACACCCATATCAGGTAAAGCGTCCATTATAGTGTCTGTGACGTACATAAGATAATTGACACGCTTTTTTTCTTTGTCTGCCTTCTCTTTAGCGTCAGCTTCGGCAATAGCATCTTCTTTAATTTTCCAACGTTTCACTTCAATTGGCTGCAATTCCGTAACATCGTACATCGGTCTCGCAGTGTTGCCGAGCTGTTTAAGCTCGTTAGTAATTAACTTCATTAGCACTGGAACACTGGTACCAAAATATATGTTAACAGCTTTGCCTCCAGTCACAAACAGCCAAGTCGGTTCGCTCTTACGTAAAAAACGTCTCAACGCCGTAATACCATCTGATTTACACTAAGCGCGAGTCATTTAATACGAATTGCAATATCAAAAATTTTGCAATAAGTGAACACTTACTATAGCTAAGTGCAAATTATCACCACCCACTTCCAATTTGATTTTCTTCAAGCTGCCCAACATACCAAGACAAGGACCACACCAGTCGGAGTAAACATCCAAGACTACAAATGTCTGAGTGGAAAATTTTGCTATTGCCGTTTTCGCTTTACTTACCTAACAAACCGGGTCTTTCTAAGAATTTTTCGAAATCATCGTCATTTTGAATATCGACCTGTAATTGCTGCACTCCTCCTTTTTTGGCCATGGTCCTTTATCAACCGCTCGCTTGAAAAATTTAGGCACAGAATACCGAAACGAAGAGATCAATTTTTCTTAAATTATAAAAATTATATAACATTTTATTGACATTTTATAATATCGTTGTATTTTACGTACAAGTGCATGTACGCATCTGTTCTGTCTTATTGAAATTATCGATCAAACCTTGAACTGGTAGCGTTGTTTCCTCTAGATTTCTATTTAAAACAAACTAGTTGTTCTTGACAACAAACAACATTAAAGCCAAATGCCTCTATACGTCTATACGTCAATAAGCAAAATGACAAAAAATATTGGGCGCAAACTGAGCGTGAAAATTAATATCGGTTCCTGTTGATTTTACTTTTGCATGCTAGCTCTTAAGAACACGCTCCTTGCATTCTACGTAAGTATTTTACTTATTTTACATCACGAGAGTAAAAAATGAGAAGCGAATACAAGAAAGAAAAAGTAGAGACCAGGACGAAAATCAATACTTCTGTTACGCTTACTATAAAATGTAGAAATTTTTTTGTAACAAATTATTGTATATATATTATGTATATATATATATATATATATATATACTATATATGAATTCATCGCATCGCGGAAATTAAAATTAACGACTGTTTTTGTGCACATCATCTGTCAATTCTGTTTTACTTTTACTGTGTGTGTTAAAAACAAAACAAAATCTTAAGAGAACTACAAGCTGTAAATTTTGACATGTTATTCGAAATTTTTTTACAGTTGTGTTGCGACCATTTCTAGCCGGCAGCAGCAGCGTCATCTGTTTCGGATTGGGCTGTTGCAGGTGGTTTGGTGACGTTTGGTGACAATCTTGACGTTTGCGGACCGAGATTGCTGCTCGATGCTGATGTCTGTACTGTCGGACCAGTTTCAATACCGCCAGCAGCCTGATCAGATTCCTGCATAGCGGGGCTAGGCGAATACTTACGCTCCTCCTTTTTCGTTTTAGTCTGATGAAAAACGAAGGAGAATTTTTTTTTTTTTTTTTTTTTTTTTAGAAATCCTCACTTGTTTTATTTTATATCTTTTTACCTTAGTTTGTTGTTTAACTTTAGTTGGTTTCGTTTTTTCTTCCGGAATTTCGACTTGTTCTAAATCGGCGGGAATATAACCCTCAGGGAAGAATTTCTTAGCTTCGTCACGGCCTATAATTGGATTTGGACTAATATAGCTGGGCCCGTAAGTAACCAAGGATAACATAGTATTTGAAGTGGCTTTATTGACTTTAAATACCAGTTTATCCGTCCTAGAAATTGTAACAGAAAGTGTTAATTGCCATTATATCATCAGTTTAAGGGCGATGGTCAATCAACTTACGGTGTGTGCGGTAGCGTAGCGTATTTAGCATCCGAACTCGCTATGAATTTAGCATCTTCCGGATCATCGCTAGTAAAGAATCCGTATAATGGCACGTCCTGTTTATTACGTTCGGCATGCGCTATTAAATCTCTTTTTTTATATGTATCGAAAGCCATAATAACATGAGGTGGTTCGGGTTTTGGGTCAGGTGGTAAAAATGATATGGTGGCTGATCGGAAGTAAAGGTAGATGAGGGCAGCGTGCGTACGATGATTGTTAGGTACCCAAATTGGATTAACTCTAACAATCTTCTTACGCGTTCGCTTTTTGGGTGCGACTTCGACTTTTTCAGGTTCCTCCTCTTCTTCTTCATTCTCTTCTAAATCCAAATTCAAGCCTAAGTCAAGCCCCGGCATATCCAATGTAGACTCAGCAGCCGTAGCTTCCATTTCGTCTTCTTCAGTTTCAGCTTCTTCCTCTTCTATATCACCAGTAACAGATGGAAGTGCAATGAGGCTTTTCAATTTAGCGAAATTATCATCTTCGGGTTCATCCAATGTTTCTTCCCAATCTGTTGCAAATACGGATCATTAGTAATTTTTCTACATTCAAGATATTGTAAAATTCCCTTACCTTCCAATTGGACTTCAACCTTATAATCGGTTGTCTCTAATATGGCCGGTAACTCTTCTTCTTCATTTGTTTCTTCATTTAATACGACATGCGGCAGCATTAAATCGTGAGCAAATTTAGTTAAAATAACAGCGATATTGTTGCCTTCGTCTGGTACCTTCCAGAAGCACATTAGTAGTTTTTTATCAATCATTTGATCAATGACATCTTCAGTGGGTATATTCGTACAGAAGAGACTAAGAATTTTTGTAAAGTGCTCCTTAGTCATAGATGCCATTGTACGATCTTTGCATTGGATCTTAAGTTTATCGGCTGGCGTTTGCATTTTCTTAAACGCCTCCCGATTCACTTGAGGTCCACATATAGTTACGCCCATATCAGGCAAAGAGTCCATAATTGTATCCGTAACGTAGGTAAGATATTCTAAGCGTTTTCTTTCCTCTTCCCCATGCTCCTTAGCTTCGGCTTGCGCTCTCAGATCTTCTTTCACTTTTTTACGTTTCTCTTCTATTGGTAGGAATTCATGCAGTTCATACAATGGTCGCCGTTTATTGCCAAGTAATGTTAACTCGTGCGTGACTATTTGCATTAATGCGGGTACATTAATACCGAATAATATATTGACGGCTTTCCCCTCATTCACAAATAGCCAAGTCGGTTCACTTTTCCTTGCAAAACGATGAAAGGCAGTCACACCTTCCGCTTTGACCTTTTTTCAAAAATCATATCTCGCCATAACTCATTTATAACATTTTTTAACAAAAAAAAATAAATATATATCAATGTTCACTTACAATGGCAAAATGTAAATCATCGCTATATTGTAATTTTAATTTTCGTAAAGTTCCTACCATACCGATGCAAGGGCCACACCATTCGGTATAAATATCGAGGACTGTAAATGAATGATTGAATGAACTTCTGATGAACATAATATTTAAATAGATGTTATAATATATGCGCTCACTTAGCAATCCAGATCGATCCAAGAATTTCTCTAAATCGTCATCATTTTGAATATCGGCCTGTAATGCCGGTGCTGACTTCTTAGACATGGTTTTCAACGGTTTTCAACTGTTTTCTTTGAAAATTTTGCATTCAAATCGCCCAAAGTGGTAGAATTTTCGTAAGCTTTCCAAAAATAGTAGAGAGAATTTAAATTTTTTATTGCTTTGAAAATTGAATGAAAATTATTGAGTTGCCCCTTAGAGTTGCTAGATTATGGAAAAACTATTTGCTATTTGTTGGGCTCAGTCTTGCATTTTATGTTTAGACAAAAACTTTCATTAGCTGGAAACTGGCTTATAAAAATTACAAATTGCCTATATAGTGGGCGTGCCAGTAAATCGTCATATCCGATCGACCTATCGGTGTACCAAGTTTTACTTCAATTTTTGTTCTGCAATTACTTCACAATTGGCAGAGGTCTGCGAGTTTTGATCCATGACATGGTCTTTGTTATAAGTTGCAGATTACAATGCTTTCCTTATTATTTTGGTTAAATAGGTACAATTCGGCATAATTAAGCGCTTCACACGATCCGTATAACATTTCATTATATTTTTTGAAGCACCTTTCTATAGAAAGCAATCCTAAGAATTAAAATATGTTTTTGAAAAAGTCTCGACCTCGTTTGCAAATAACAAAATAGTAATAAGTCTCCCCTAACCCCTCTTACCGCCTTTCGTTAATAAGTTGTAAGCTAAAAATGATGTGACATGAATTTCGCCTGCGCGCCTGAGCGTTACGCACATTTTTGTTGTTGCTGTCTTAGCAACGATGCCCTCCCGTTCGTTCATCCCTTAGTGAGAAATATTTTATAATAAAGTTCTCAATAATAATTATGCTATGAACCTGTTTATATTCCGAAAGAACATATTGCATAGAACAGAAGAAATTACGAAGAAAGAAATCCGTATCGCAGTGTCTGAGTACCTGAGAGAATTATCATATTACACTAGATAAAGTGAACGACAGACAAGTGTTTGTACACCATCTTAATGGGAAAACTGTGAAGTAAACAACAGTTATCCCAAACAGACCTGTATTTTTGTGCAGGAGCTTACAAGTAAACGTCTGCATTGAATTGAAAACTGGCCAAAATGGGTGTCCAAGTCGTTACCTGTTATGTAAGAGAAGGAATGCATGGACGAGTATAATGCTAAAGAGAATGGTTTTGGGGACAATTTGCTAATTTTCAATTCGCTTTGCTTCTACTAACACCCATCAGGGTGTGTGAAAATGACACTCAAAGAGATTGCATTCCGCTCTGTTCGCACTTAAATATGGGATCGTGCATATTAATGTGCTGAAGACACAATGGACCAATACAAATTTAAACAAGGTAAGTATTTGTATTAAGACAAGTTAAAACGATCTACACTATGGTCTGATGGACAATTCAATAAAAGTATCGTCCATTGTGGAAATATCTCAAAAATCGTTGTCTGTAGTTTGAACACGAAAAGAGAAGAAGAGACATACAGGCGGGCAGGCGGATGCTTAAATTGTTTGGGAGTGTAGCTTACATCCCCACAGACTTAGCTAACGATATAAATAGTAATGGAAGCTAAGGCGTATTGTTTGCGATCGGGATGTTACAACAAACCGAGTAATGGAAGTTACTTGGCCTAGTACCGACGAAATAACCCTTTAGAAGCTAATTCTGCACAAGTTAAGTAAATTGAACTATAGAGGATATACTTTCACGGCTGTTGTGCTCCTTAAAGTTGAACGTATGTCGAATTCCAACATATGTCAAAAGAATTGGTGGTTGATGATCGCAAGAGATTTCTAGTCGTAATTGTCGGGAATTCCAATGCCTGGGCTAACGGCCTGTACAAGAAACTGTAACCTATTGGAAACGCGAGCGGCTTTACCAATGACACTAATGTGTGACGGTAAAGGACAAACGTTTGGGAAAGCGGGTTTAGGGACGGTGGACGCCTGGGTGGAGACTGAGTGAAGATTAGTCAAGCAGGGATCATCAACCCATCTTCCAGAAGGGTGAAGATAGAAACAGAAAAGAAAACGATAGTCTCAAGCTTCCCGGGCTTAAGTCTCCCACTGTTCAGGGGTATATTCAATCCACATTGGTATACGAGAAGAGTACAGCTTTCTAGAGATGCCATAATTATTGGAATGTGTGGAGCATAAATAGAAGTTGTGGTCATAAGAGGTCAGCAGCTTGTAGAATCTGATTCGGGGTACAGGTCAAGCAGTCATCTCTCGTTTGCAATTATCTGGGAGCTATGTCAGATCACAGACTTGCTTTTAAATATCATGTTTGTTGCCTTGTGCAGAAAGCGGCGGATATTAATGCCAGAATCGTTTCAAATAGGGGAAGGTCTCGGAAAATATGTTTACTGGAAACTGATAATAGCGTGCCCTCTTAGCACTTGCACGCAGCTAAGTTAGACGATTTCGGAAGATTCCGCTGCTGCTGAATTTACAATCGCTATGACAATTGGTATTGTGGCAGAAAGGATCAGACGCTGTAAAACGGGAGAGACGGCTTGTTTCATTAAGGAAATGGCAATCGAAAAGAAGGACGAAAGGCATATGCATATTCGCTTTTATTCCGAACATGGGACAGGAGAGTGGATTGAAACACTTAACTAGTATTAAAGCGATGTAAAGATGAATTTTTTTTTTATATTAAAAAATAATTTACATTTGAACCCAAAAAAAGAAAAGAAAGAGAACGCAACACAAAAAGAACGAATTCTGATGACAGTCTGTCAGTTTGTGCTGTCAACATTTACATTAACTGACTTCATACTACAGAGGTAATTTTTATTCGCTCCTTCGTTTACGAATCAGATATCTGTCGGTCAGCGTACCTCCTCGCTTCGCTACTTTCACAATACTGCACTCGTCCTACCTCATCATGACTCTTATTCTACAGCCATTACAGCCGTTGTTGCGTAAGTGTAAATATATTTTGCACTCCTAATCACTTTTATTTGTTTTTTACACATACTATCGATGGTCGGTTCTTGCTTGCAAGTAGAAAGCATACACCTACAGGGCAAACTTTAGTGAGAACACCTCCGCTTTCCGGGTCTTTTACTTATTTACAATAAACTACAGCAGCATAAGATATGATAAGAAAAATTTGAACATATATTCTGGGGAGTTTAGTCTATCTAGGGATATGTCTGCAATAAGAAGAAGAAAATGGCTGCGTACCATCAATACTGTACGATACCAAATTTTAAGTCTTTCGTCTCCTTGGCCTTATGTTTTTTTCTCAATAAAGTTGATGAGCATGAAAGATTCGGCTACAGCCGTATATAATATCTTATTAGTTTTGATTAAGTTCGATAATGGGCTCCATTCAGTTTGGGATGTTTTATTAAAACAACCACTAAGCCGGACGTATGTTCATTCAGATCATTGCCATCTTGAACAAATGCTATCGTCCGAGTAATAAGCCCTCGACTATGGCGAAGTGTAACGTTTCTATGGAAATTGTTTTTATTTGAAGCCTTGCCGCCTATTTCGGAATGAAATGATTTAAAACGTAATTGCAATTAAAGTAAACAAGTCATTAGTCATTACGATATAAGAAATTTGGCTTCAACTTCTAACTTTATGCTCCTATTCGCTTCATCTAGTCATCACGCTACAGTGTCATCTGTTTTATTGTAGTTTAGTTCATTTTTGAACTGAAAATTCATGCACTATGATGAAACATACTGTTTCCATCTCTGTCATCTTAGAATATTTGGTTTTCCAAATTCTCTGTCACCGTCTTGTTGCCGCGTATTAAATAAATTGGTGTCCAGCACAATAACCCTTTAAGGTGAGAAATGCGAATTTTGAATTTCCCTTCGCAAACTTTCTAATATCTACTTGATATCTTGATAACATCTAATGTCTTGTAGGCTTGTGGATAACCGAGTGTAGGGCCAAATGTAACGAGCGTCCTTCTCCTATTGTTTTAGTTACTTTGTCATTTTTTAATTGAAAATGTGATATGTAAGTTTTGGTCGAATGAATAAAAGTGCCACCCTATCTTTAGGAATCTTGATCTGTAAATTTGGGCCTCAATAAAATAATCGGAAAGAATTTCACTTGCAAACCTGCCACCAAATTTCATTGCTTCACACAACGTTATTTCATTTTTGCCTAGAAATTTTGCACACTTTCGTGCACGTTGAACGGAAGCATGTGAATTGAATGAAATTATATTTGTTGTGCTATGCACTAAGGTAAACTTGTTTATAAAATTGTTTAAATTCAAGCGCATATGCTAGACGTTGTTGTTGAAAAAATTATCAGCGACACGCGAGCTCCCATAACATCTGTAACGCTCGCAATATCTTTTAATGTTTCGCCCACCATTTGACCGATTTTACGGTCGGGTTTACTATGTTTGATTTGATTTTGATTTGCGGCCAAGGAGTGAAGACACAGATAGGAACGGATAGCTATGAGTGAATCAAATGTTGTTTTAATATTATTAACGAGTGCTGCTACCCTTGTGCTTTTCATAGTTATTACGCTTCACAATATGCGATTGATATAGTTCAGTAACGGTTAGAGGCTCGCTGGGTAATGAGCGGCATATTTTACAAGCCGTGGTATTCAATTGATTGATTGTTAACCACGTAGCCATATCTCGGTTCGCCGTTGAGTAGTGTGAGGGCCTTTGCGGCCCATTCTCTGGGGATGGGGTAGCTCAGCGGCCCAGGAAACACAAGAAATTTGTATTACAAGTCGTTTATAGTGTTCCTTATTTTTATTATTTATTTTAATATTGATTATCCGCGGTCGCGACCGACTTCTTAAACATCACTCACTAAACTCCCTACATGATTAACTCAATTATTCCACCCTACCCTATTCTTAATTTATTCTTATTCTACTCTTAATCTACTCCTATTCTATTCTCTCTCTTATGCTCTACCTCATTGTCTAACCTATTCTGTAGCTTACTCTCTAACTTCTAGTCCCTAACTTATTCTCTATCTTAAACTAACACTCTCCCCCCACCAGAGATGGAAAAACTGTGAGGCCAAAACGAAGGATGACCTTGGCTCCTCACAGT